GCATAATTTATTTAGCCACTTGCCTATTTTGGGGTACTTAAGTCTTTTTTTTTTTTTTTTTTTTTGGTACCAGGGGTGGAACCCAGGGTCACTCAACTGTTAGAGTCTGTAAACAAGTCAAAATAACACCTGGCATTTTGCCAGGGGAATGTTAGAGTTTGTAAACAAGTCTGGATGGTGCCTGGCAAAATGCCAGAGGGAGTGGTTTGAGAAGTAACAAAAGCGAGGCATTAAGTGTGGAGATTCCTGATTGGTTGACTGCTGTATCTAGTTTATGCTAATTAGATAAGCTGTGTGGAATGTATAAATACTGCTCCTGTCCTGCAATAAAGGGCTCCTACTCCTGCTGTATCAATCTACACAAGTTGTTCGTCACCCCCCTGGGTTATTTTGCTGCAGCCCAACGAACTGCAGCACTCAACCACTGAGTCACATCACCAGCCCTATTTTTATTGTATTTAGAGACAGAGTCTCACTGAGTTGTTTTAGCACTCACTTTTGTTGAGGCTGGCTTTGAACTCTCCAGCCTCCAGCCTACCCAGAGGCTGGGATTACAGGCGAGCACCATGGTGCCCAGCTCATTTTTAATAATGTAACAATAGTGAGTATTATTCAGTACCTTTGTTTTCATTATTTACTGGTTCCCTTGGACTCCTGGAAGTAAAAATTACTAGGTTAAGGCATAAACATATTTTAATATGCTGTCAAATTGTTCTCCAGAAATACGTGTTCTCCTATATGTGTAATCTATAATACACATTTTCCATAATTATTACATTTTTGTTAAATTAATGTAGAAATACTTTATATTAATGTCTTCATTCTGACTTTATAAAATTTATTTTTCTTAGAAATTTGTTACTTGAACTTATTTAGATTATTTTCCTAACTTTGTGCTTAGCCAATCTTTAAAAAAATGGGATTATATATAAACTTATTTATAAACTTAAAGCAATCTTTAAATTTAAAAAGGAATAAAGCAAACTTACAAGTATAGCATCATATTAGCTAAGGTTTTTATTGATTTTTTAACAAAGTTAAGCTCAATTTTCAGATACACCCTGCAAAAAAGAAAATTGATGATCATCTAGTGCCTTTAAAATGTTTAAATCTTCATAGTTAAAACTCTCCCAAAGAATTCCATTAGGAATTTTTATTAAAACATATTTAAAGAAACTAGACTTTTAAGAGTAAATTATTGATTAACCACCAACTATTTGAATAATCTGCTGTTAGATTATAAAATAATAGTTTCAAGAAGACCTTAGAGTTTTGGAGGGGATTTCTTTTCTCTGTATGCTGATTTTAATTACCTAAAGTTAAGATTTTTTCTATAGGTGACATCAGTATGAGAAAATTATTTGTTAGTTACAAATTGACCTACTTAGGAAAATCTGTAATTTATCATTTAACCTAGGTACACTAAGATGACCTTAATTTTTACAAGGGAAGAAATTGTCTTCAATTCATTAGCTATATTTATTGCTAGTTATGTTCCAAAATAATAGCATAATTTGACTCATGTAAATTTCCAATGAAGAATAAAAATAACACATAAAGAAAATGACAAAGGAAGAAGATATAGGCATCTGTATGATTTTGTAGAGGTCCAGGTACTTATAAATGTAAAATAAAGGAAAAAATTACAAAAGGAAATGTCACTATATTTAAGAACATAAAAATGAAGTCTTCTTCAGGAAAGGTTACCAGAAAGTATATTAAAAGAAAGATTATAAACTGAGGAAAATGCTTTTGACATATTTGGAAAACATGCATAAAACTTATAAGGATTGCTTACAAATCAATAAAAAAGACAAAACTTTGATTCAAAAATGGCCGGAGTACCAACAAAAAGTTTATACATGCTGACATGAGATGCAAATAGATACAAGTATCAGTAAACATATATTAAAGGTTATTCAGTATTACTGTCATGGTTTGGATCTGGAATGTCCCTCAAAGTCTCATGTGTTGAAGGCTTGATCCCCAATGCAGCAAGGTTTAAAGGTGGGGTTTAAGGGTAGTGATTGTATTATGAAGGCGTTTGCCGCAGTCTGGCTGGGCACAAAATCACGAGCCACTCACAGCCTTGTAGATACAAACAGCAGTTCTTTATTCCCGAACTCACACCTGCACTCTACACACGTACCGGGGGCAATCCACGTTCTGGGCAAAATCCCAAATACTCTCTCAATCCCCCTGAGAACTCAAGGGAACTCAAGGAGCAGGCGCACCTGAGGCAGCAGGATACACCCTATTCCCAGCAGGGTACACCTTAAACCTGGAACCGCCCTAAACCTGGATTGTCCTAAACCGGAATGCCCTAAACCCAGATCCACCCTAGTCCTTGAGCAAGGTCACCTTACATGCAATGTCACTGCAAATGACCTGGGTCATGCCATGCATTATTCTTACTTAGCAATGGCCCTCAGCATCTCCCCCCTTCTGATTAATTAAACAACAAGCAATGTGGCTTAAGGACCGTGCCTGGTAGGTTGTCCAATTCAACATATGGTTCTTACCTGTCATGGGAAAAACTGACCTCTAGGCGTCAGCCTCCTGTCTTACGTTGATACCACGCCAAGGTCGCAGGTTCGTTCCCCGTACGGGCCACCAAATGCCGCATACTTAGCAATGGCCCTCAGCAGGCTTTGATCTCATGAATGGATTAACCCATTGATGGGTTCATGATTGAATGGATATTGTGGAGCCTAGTCAGAGGAAGCAGTAACTGGGAATGTGCCCTGGAAGGGTATATCTTGTTTTTGGCCCCCTCCATGGCCATGGTTTCTCTCTCTCTCTCTCTCTCTCTCTCTCTCTCTCTCTCTCTCTCTCT